TTTACTTTTTTCTTGATATGAGGCTCAATTGTCGGGAGCTCAATTGTCGGAAGCTCAACTGTCGGGAGGCTCAACTGTCGGGGGCTCAATTGTCGGGGCTCAACTGTCGGGGCTCAATTGTCGGGAGCTCAACTGTCGTGTCACTCTAAAAATCGTATATCATTAACAGCTTATTAGAATATATGAAATACTTTCTTATTGTATTTTTAGATGATTAGGTAAACGATGATGAAAAAGTGTTCCAGAATAGATCAAATAATACAATTTTTACATGACTAATAACAATAACTGCATCGTATTTCACTTTTTTTTATTACTAAAATTATCATTAGATAATGTAAACACAATTCATTTAATCCTTAATATAAACAATCGAATATTTTTTTGCCTTTTACAATTCAACTATCTTCCCTAGTTGTCATTGCTGATATGCTAACATTGAATGTTAATGATAGATTAGACGAAGACAAAATTGGTATCAATGCAAACTAAGATTTCAATAATACTTATTAAAAAAAAAATTAAGAATAGCTGAATCAATAATTTGAAGTGTATCTGATGAAAAATTATTTCGATTAAGTGTAATATCTGTTACATATTGTCCATTAGCTGTCGAATCAAAAACAGCAATTAAACTAATTGGAAAAACGATTGAATTAATTGTGAAGGTAGTCAACCACTAACCAGTTGTAAGTCAGAGAGAAGTTTATCTTATCGCGTATATACAGTCAACTTTATTGTTGCGAGCGAGGGATATATATATATACATGAGTCTGGAACAAAAGGAAGGGTATGGGTAGGAGTGGGATGTGGGTGTTGGGTGTGGGGTGTGGCTGTGGGTCTTAATGAAGTGACATTCCAACCCCACACCCACACCCTTCAAGTTTATACGATCTTTCTTGACTGAGTTGTAAAATTTTCAATTTTTGGCCACGTTAGCTGGGAAGAACAGAAAATTGACCCTAACCTTTCAAGAAAGAGCTGTCAGCACAAATCATTTTAGGCTTTTTACTATCTCGATGCCCTCTATCAAACGACCTATGCATGAAGGGTATCGGTGTTGGACACCTTGGGCGGTTCCTTCGTTAGTTCTTTGTACACATTAGCAATATTGTTCATTATGGATGAGCTCCAGTTAAAATCTTGTGGCGTTCGTTTTTGATTGATTTTCAATGCTTGTTTGTAAAATTTTAGAGCAGCCGAATAATTTCTTTCGAACAAATGTATTGTACCAATATTATTTTTGATACTTAATCTATCATAATGATTGAATGACAGATCTTTGAGACTCATTTTATAAAAATTTTTTGCTTGAACGATCTCATTCATGCTTAATAGTAGATTGATTATTGTTGAAATTTCGTGTGCATTCTCAATATTTGATTTCAATTTATCGACTTATTCAGTTCGAATTAAATCGTTGTCATCATCGCATAAAGTAAGTTTCACATGCCAAATTTGATCTGTTAATTTTTCGACGAAATTTATTTGAAAAATTGTTCCCATTGTAAACAAAACTTTTTCTTCTTTTTCCAAGTAAGCGAAGGGTTTTGTGAGATAGTTCTTTACTGAACAATGAATTTCAAAGAAAATTGATTCGATTAATGAACGTTCTAATGCATTGCCAGCGAAATGAAGTGGAATTTCATTCCATGTACTTGTAAAAAAGAAACTGTTTATTGAAATTCGACCATTGATATTATCTTTTAGACTTTGTAGTTCGGCAACAGTTAATCCTTGTCCATGGAACATAACCAACTCAGATATAGTTTCCTTCTGTGACCTAAGTGAACTAATATAAGACTCATGTAGCTGAGCGAGACAATTATAGAGATCAATCAGAACGAAGCGAAATTGGAATATAATCAGAATATTCTTTGTTCTTAATGCTTTATTTAATAAACGATAAAGAAATGCAACTCGTATATACCATTCGATCACATTGGTTGAATCATATGTATCCTCAAATTCTTGGATTTTTCGTAATTGTGTGGTATCGTCGAAGTATTTCAATCGACATTCTGCTAATAAATTATTCTGTGAAACAGATGTTGATGGCAGTTGTTTTAATAGTTCAATTAATAGCTGATACCACAAAAAAAAATCTTGCTCTTTGTTGAAATTTTGAAAAGATGTTTCTCCAATACTAAAATTAAACGATGGTACAATGCTCATTGATGTCATTTTCGAATAAAACATGATATCTTCATTTAACTGTGTAATTAGTTCATGCTGGCCGATAAAAATACCTTTAATTTTATCTGAATAATTCTGAGTCCACTCTTCATGTTTCTTCTTATTTGTACAGATTATGTAAATAGAAAAAATGTATAACTTTTCGTACACAAGTGGAAGAACTTCTCTGCCTTGTGTGTCAGATAAAACAAGAATTATTTTGTTCTTATCACTGCTTTCTAATGATAAAAGATAATAAATACAAGAATCAATATTATCCAACCATTTTAAATAGTTTGCGATCGAACGTAAACGAACACTGCAATCCAATTGATTACTATGTTTTATATCGAGCCAAACGATTTCCACGCTATGACCATTATAGTCATTAGATGATTCTGTTTTCAACCTTTTGTTGTAAGCAATATTGTTGGAAGATATCTTCCGTTTTCTATGTTTATTAGTTTTCATAAATATAGGAATTCGATTCATTAATTTTAAGCAGTCCATTACGCCAACCATTTCTATACGACGATTTTCAACTTGGATTAGCTTCAATGGATTGCATTTTGGATCTTTTTCACTGTTTTCTTCTGAATTTTGATATACCTAATAGACAAAACTTAGATAAATTAATTCTGTTGTGTACTCATATACAAAAGGTAAACTACGAGATGAGAATGATTCGATAAGCAAGCACAAACATACTTTATTTAGTTTATTTACATTCATTTGAGAGGTGTCATGCATTTATCAGTGCATGTGTTCTCATCATATCTTACAGTACAATTGACTACTCAAGAAGGATGTTATGTATTGGTACATTATCTTGTGTGATTTTCATTAATATAGTTCAATTAGACATATTTTCTTGATGTTAATTTTGCAAGAATATAGAAAATAGATGATATTAGAGCAATATTGTGTTAGAATAGCTTCTAAAAACGAATGTACCGTAAACACAGAAAACCAATAAAAATGAAATGTATGCAAACTGGTCTTCAACAGTGAAAAAGTGTAGCAGGAAGAATTGCCTTCACTCATAGTTTTTATTCATTCTGCCCTTGGTGAAGACAGAGTCAGTCTCTAAATTGGGCACACTTACTACGAGATGTAAAACTTTCATAAAAAAGTTTGTGGTTGCGTTTATATTTGGTATCCAGGTTTTTAGATACCAGTTCTAAAAACATGCCATTATAAAAATTGGGTGTGGGTGTGGGTCTTAATGAAGTAACATTCCAACCCCACACCCACACCCACACCCGCACACATCCCACACCCACATCCCACATCCCACACCCACACCCACACCCGCATACACCCACACAACCACACCCACATCCCACACCCGCACACACCCACACCCACACCCGCACACACCCACATCCCACACCCACACCCGCACACACCCACACAACCACACCCGCACACACCCACACAACCACACCCACGTCCCACACCCACACCCGCACACACCCACACACGCACACACCCACACAACCACACCCATATGTGACATAGTTGAGTGCAAGTGCGGGAGGGTGTGATTGTCGCTATCGCTGTGAGACGGTGAAAACGTAGAAGTAGAAAAGACTCACACCTACACGCACACTGATACCGATATCCTCTTTATACGCTACTTCGAAAAAGGAAAAAACAGCAAGTTTTCAAAAATAGCGTTGGTTTTTCCTCAATGCACTCAATCAATTCGCTATGTTACTAAGTTTCTTGTACCTCAAGACAATAACAACACAAACAAAAGAAAGCGATTTTAGTGATTCAATAGTGACTCCGCGAGAAAAAAAAGCATGGGAAAGTGGTGTCAAACAGATCTCATGACAACTACGAAGAATATTTTACTAGATGGCTCTTCTATTATGAATATTTTGTATTGGAAGAATAATAATCAGTACATATTAACATATGCGATGAGAGTAAGTTAGTGAAGCAGCCGAGGTAAGTTATAGTGCAACCCGTTTCTCAATAGGATAGTCAATATGAACAGGAAGAAGTTTATCATTGAATGTTGAATATGACTTCAAGTGCCAAATGATCCGATGGATAATTGATCGATGGAAGTGCATTAGGTCCAATTTCATCTTTAGTTGGAAGCTGTAAAATAGCTTTAGGTGTGAATCCTTTTGGAGTATAAAAAATATAATCGATTGTGTGACACGACTCTTTTTCGGTTTCATCGCGTCCCTTAAATTTCCAGGTAGTATACTGCGGCTCATGATTGTTCAGCATGGCAGAATAGGCGCTTCGAAAACCGTAGTTGGCAATTTCCGAGTAAAAAGGCTCAACAGTGTCTCCGTTAAAATCACCGGCTAGAATCATATGTGTATGCGTTGGATATTTATTTTTGATATGTTGAATAAGCCCCTGTGTTTGAGCAGTTCTCGAAGTTTCGAATGCTTTACGGGCTTTCAAATGAGTGCCGATAAAAATAATCTTTTTCGATGATGGCTTGTGCTCCAACTCGAGAACGGCAAAAATCTAAACATGGTATTAATACATTCTTTCAAGTACGACATAGCTCCATAAGACTAATAAATAGAAAAGTAAACGTGAACGAGAAATGAAGACAGTTGCTGATGCTGGTAATATTTGAAAATCATGTGCGACTAACAAATTTGTTATGCGATTATTTCTTTGAAAAATCTTTTCAGTATCACCTTTGTAAAAAAACTGGCTAAACCTATGATTACAAAAAATCGTAATTCGAAGTTAGAACAAACTCAGATAGGTACCGAGAGAAGCAGTTCATGACGTAAATGAATTTTTAAAAAAATCAGCTTTACATAGATTCTTGAGTAAACTTTGAATATAATTTCTATTAGTAACTGTACTACTTGATCTCTTAACAATCGTCAGTGTCTAGAAGCATTGACCAGAGACTATTACTAGTAACGAAAACGAGAATGTATCAATACTCACATCGATACAGAACACACGCACTCAGTTTGATGATGAGCACTTTTTTGTCGCTTGTCACGCATTTCCTTGGCATTCATACTAGCTGCAATGCTACAAGTGAATGCAAATGTGTGTGGAATAGGAGCACAATCTATTTTTTTTGTTAACATTCGCAGCTCTTCATTATCGAGTGTGAACTTTTAATATTTGTTTGAAATTATATAATAATTCATGTTCTCTTAATTGTTTTGTAATTCATGTACCGTATTCACCGTACTTTTGCTACTTTAAGAATCACGATCATTATTAGTTTCTACGATCATTTTTAGGAGGTTTTTGATGGGCTTCTTACGATTTTCTATAGATCTTGTAAAACATCACTAATGAAAAATGTTTCACGAATATCAGTGATTGAACACCTCTGACGTTGACTACAAAGTTTTGACACTAACCATTTGGCGCCGAGGCACGCATATATGCGTGTTGAGCTTTTGCTCATATTACGGTCATTATAATATTATTTGCGCTCGATGGAAAAGACTCCTCTCTTTTTCTCGTGTCTTGGCAACGTTATTGCATCATCGTCTCACGTTGCTCTGTGTGTATTCATGTGCTCTCTTCTGCGTTCTGACACACCAGCTTCTCACATTCTACCTATATATGCTATTCAAAGTGAAGCATAAAAATCTATTCAATTTGGTGACTTTCGAATTCAATTGATTCGGGAACTGATTGAAAGATATGGTCACCTCGAAGGTTCATCTGGTCGTCCGACTATCGAAGACAATTCTATGCGTATCACTGCACGTCACTTTTTGTCTCTAGTTCCAGCAATAGCAACAAGAAAAGCTGCACAGAGATATTGTGGAGTTTGTAGTCGTACAAGCAGACGAAAGAAAAAGCGTACCGATACACGTTATCAGTGTGATGTATGTAACGCTGGACTTTGTGTGACAGGTTGTTTTGAAGATTATCATACTCTGAAACATTTATAAATGCTTTTATATAACAATAAAATTTGTTCCCGACATTTTGTAAAAGAAAAAAAATTCAACTTTTTTCAAAAAAACCCCGGCACCAAAGGGTTAAGAGCGCGGAGCGCATGCTCTAACTAGAGAGATAGCATTAGTTGTAAATTGACAAAAAACTACAACTATGAGCTAAAACTTAAGAGAGCCAAACTTTTATTTTTGCTATAGTTTTTTTAGGGAAAATAGATCTTTTATATAGAGTTATATCTAAATTTTCAACTCCTTTGTATCTCAAACTAACTCTGCTGTGTTACAAATTCAAATGTATATGGCAAATCTACTCAGGATTCGTTGCACTTCTAGGCTGTGATGAGCTTTATTGCTAAGCATAAATTACATATGGATATTAACCCGAATCCTGTGCTATTAGATTTTTATGCAGGACATGGAACACGTGTACACATACATCTTCAACTCTTAATATTAGAATAACTTTTAAAAAGCTGACTTTGTCTAGTTGAAATTTCGGTTATAAGCTTTCTATGCTTGTACGCACAATTCCTGAAACTTTCAGCTGGCTCAGTTGTTTTGAAACAAAAACTAGTTTTCCAAAAGGTGCCTGAAAATACTTGTTCTAGCATGATTTACACACATCAACTCTATATTTCCATTCGATAGTTTCCTTAATAGACAAGTGAGAATCGTCATATACTTTGAAGTATCACAGATCTATTATCGAACTAATCAACGAAGCAGTTTTCCTTCCTTTTTCTTTTAAACAAATGAGTAGCCAACAATATGCACAATCACTAACATGTTTTTCTTGTCGCCCATCATCTGGCAATTGACCTCCATCACGACCTAGTTCTTTGAATAGATCAGTTTTGAAACACAACAGTGTACCATCAGGACCTTTGAAATTTTCTGTATCATTTTCAAATAAAAGACATTTTGAATTTATCTTCTCCACAAAGTGACATGAATATCTGCAAAATGAAAAAACTGTTAGCATAATCTCTATGGAATTAAAATGTGAAACACGATATTGCTATTGTTGCTACTTATATGAAAATTGTTGTATTACATCTATTTTCGGGTACATTTCTTCATCGTTTAGTTAATACTATAGAACCACAATAAGGAACTAGTTTATATACTTCGATGAGATGTTAGTGATAAACAGTCTTGAATACTCTCTGAAGACCGCCTGTTATGGTATGTGATGATCTGTAAGAGTCACTGGTGATCGTCTCTCGCTATTTGAGCAGAGGAAATAAGTGAAGATTTCTACATCATATACTTCAACAATCTTTTTAGATCGTGTTTCATAAAATACTTAGAATTATCTTTGACAAAAATACCATTTACCCATATTTTGGTAATTCATTTTTCAGAAAATCATTGAATATATCCATCTCTTCTAAAGCACATAGATCCGGTCTACGAGCAATAATTTGTTCGAGAATTCGCCATTTTCGATTTTCGAAAGCAACTGCATCATTCGGTGCGCGTACAAGGTTGTTTTTTGTATATGAGAGAGCTGAAAATATAAGTGACAGAGAAGATAACATTGTTGAAAATCAAACGTGTTGCCTCACCTTGTGCAAGAATATTCCATTGTAGAACATGAAGAGTATTATTGTTCGATGAATAATCACCACAGAATTGTCTTGAAAGACTGGGTATCTTAATATGTCGTGCTATTCTGCAAATACGTCAAATGATAAAATAAAAGAGCTCGTGTAGTTTTTTTATCTTTCTCACTCATCGGGAACTTTGTTTCCTGTTGATTCACGTGCCATAAAGAGTTGTTGAACTTTTCAGTAACTAAATCAATCAGATTGATCTTTATTAGTGAGCTATCAATTATAATTCATCTTTTTCTTGACAACAAGAAACGCGCAATGAATTCGATAAAAAGAAAGATAGAAAAAATCAAACAAGTATAGGTTGCTTATCAATTTTGTTGCTTGAAATTCCATTTATGATATCAGTCGTATTTTTTTTCATTTAAAACTTTTATTGGCAAATTTCAAACTGATCGGACACCCATGTTCTATCCTTTGCATCTAACAAAGAAGAAAAATTTTGATTTTCAGTTCCTCTCTTCATAATAATATTTATTGATCAGTCGATGTTTGTTCAGTCTACCAAAAACAGTGCAGAATTATTCATTTGGAATATGATTTCCCTTATAAAACTAATTGAAAATTATTTTTTCCATCTCTGTATTGTAATACGCTATGTCTGTACTGTTAACAAACATTAAAGTGAAACGAGCCTCGCATATAAAAGTTTACACGAAATTTAATGATCAGAAGATTTTATTTTGCATGTGTAGCCTACTCTACAAGTAACTGATGGATGTTAGATTGAATTGCGGAACGTCTTTTCAGAGACATCTTCCGAATATGCGTCGAAAGTTTTATATACGATACTTTTTTCATGTTAATATTCTCTTACGTTGAACATCTTTCTACGTATAATAAATTAACAAAAACGCTTTCTAATCTTAGCTCGTCAGTGCGTCTTAATGGAAAATTATGCTATCTATCCAACTTCAATGTTTATCTTGATTTCGCTTCAGAATTTGTCGCCTCACACAATTTGTTTCAGTAGAACTAACAAAAAAAAAACAGTAAGTCATGTGATTCTTTGTCACTTTTTTATGCAATGAAATATTCTTAAATGCTATTCAAAACTAATCCCTATATCCGTGACAGTGATTTCTTTTCAACTTTTGCTTAAATGCCTCTTTTTTTTTATAAAAAGCTTTTAGCTGACAATTCGCCGATATACAACAGTCTGTAGTTTTTCAAAATTGTCTAGCATCAAAATTTTACTCTAAATAACTTCGCTGATTATTTGAACTGGAATGTGCTCGTTAGAATCGGGGGTAACAAATAAACCAGCGAGAGTTTGCTATTAATTATCATTGACTTCAGACGCACAATTATTGAAAGCTGGAAGAGTAGCTTTTCGTTCTGAGAATTGCACATAACGCGTGGGTCGAAAGTTTTGAGACAAAATATTTAATTATTTTTGATCTGCGTAAAAGTATTGTAGACGAATGAAAACTACAGGTTATGATTGGAATTTTGTGCTCTTTCTGAACATAGGCTAAAAAATGTTGTGTCTATTTTTATACCAGAGTAGTGAGACAATCTTTGAATATGCCGGAAAATTGAATTGGTCGATGAACATATAGGCCTTTGCCTCTCCCGTGAATCCTATGTGAAGATGCTAAAAACGGTTGAATATGGTAGTTTTTGTAGAGCAGACAGTCCTCTACAAAATGTGATGGTCAATTTCAATATAGCTTTTATACAAGTAAAACTATAAGCATTTTCTGAGAAGCTATTTCTACGTGAGATGGATTTCGGTTAAAAAAATCGATTATTCAAAAACGAGGGTAATAAGAAAACAAAATTTTAGATGGTTTGTAAGAAAATAAAAAAGAAACTGAAATAGCGCATTTTGTAGAGTAGAATTCGCTCTGCAATCTGATATATGAGCCAAAGTTTCAACATTCAGTTTCGAATTGGAACAGTAAAAATACAAAAAATATTTTTGTTCAAATTAACTTTTTAAGCAATTCAATGATTAGTTCACTGCATCCCAACCAAAGTAGACACAGAATTTCTGAATTCATATCCGAAAAGAGCATTAAATTCTGATCCTTACCGACGGTTTTGCATTCATCTAGAATGCTTTCGAACTGGTGAAAAATGACCAAACATTTTGTCTCAAAACTTTCGGCCCACCCGTTACATCCATGATCTCGTTTAGAAAATAGAAACGAAAGACGATAGATCACTAACAGTACTAGCACATACACTCGGTATGATAATATACAGAAAGATGTACGATTAAGCTTTCTAACTTGTTTGATGTAGACATAGAACAGAAAACACTACGAAGATACAANACATACTCAAATAGGTTAAAATCGATGCCCAATCCAACAGACCTGCTCTCGAGATCTTTAGAGGATTTCTAGAAAACCTCCCGGAAACCTGTTGAAAGCCTTCTAGAAATCCTCTAAAGATCTCGAGAGCAGGTCTGTTGGATTGGGCATCGATTTTAACCTATTTGAGTATGTTTTGACTATGTTGGGAGAGAACAGAAAAAAATAACCAAAAATCACCTGGCCAATTTTGAGGTGTCCTCAGTAAAATCGATTTTTCTCAGCGAGGAAAAGGAATTTTTGAAAAAGCTCTTTATAGATTTGAAGCTGCGCATCTGACCAATCTAATCATGCAAAAATATTGGCTCTAACATTTCTAAAAAAACCTGTGATAGACTTGCAAAATTAAGTTCCGGCTTTTGAGCATGGGTCTTGGGAAATTATTTTGTGAACTAATGCTTTGTTTTAAAAATGGTTTAAAACCAGTTTCTTATTCAATTTTATATGATCTATCAGAAAAACTAAGTCAGAAGATTCCATCTCGTAACATATTTAAAAAATAGAAGAATCTATGAAAAGTTGCCAAATTATCTATTTTTCACACCTTCCGAGATTTTTCAATTTTTCGACCGGAAAAAAGATTTAAGAAAATGCAAGGCACACATATTCTTCACCGCCATGAAATTCTCGATCGAATGGTGTATGAAAATCAAAAAAAAGTTTTTCTAACTTTATTTTTGCTTTGCGTGCATCTTAAATATCAAACAATCTTCAACTAAATATGAAGAAGTGGAGTTATATATGGACTATTAAGTAAATTTGAACATCGATACTTATCAAATAAAAACCATGTTATGATTCGATTAATTATTTTAAACATTTTTTATTATCATTTTCTTAGTATATTTTATTAATAAAGCATTTTCATCCCTTTTTTTGTTTAAATAAAAAAAATAATTATTTTTTTTTTAATGTCAATTGGTCGACGAATGGTTTTTTTCAAAAAAACAGGAAAAAAAAAATGTTTTTATTTCGGTTTTTTAAACAATTTATCCATAAGTTCTAAGTTTCGATCGATTCAATTTTATGAGAAAGCCTCTGGAGATGCTCTTCTCTTCTACAAGATCTTTTAGTGACAAGGAAAAAGATCATAAGAGTAACATAATCTGAGAAACTTTGAACTGATGAATCTAAATTATAGTGATTTCGCTAGATTTTAGTTTCATCCATTGATTTACTTGCAAAATCAAATCAAAGGATTTGAAGAAGTTTGAACTATTTGAAGATTCTGATAGTTTTAGATGAGGCTACCCATATCACAATATTCTAATGAGGTTTGTTCCATGTTAGATGACTTATATGTGAAGAACAAGCTTTTCTAATACAGTCAGCAGTTACTGGGATTTATTTTTTTTGGATTTCTTGGAACTTTTCGAGATTTTTCTATTAAGGGTGTGGGTGTGGGTGAGTGTATGAGTGAATGAAGACAAGAGCCACAACCGAATGCATACCCACACCCTAGGTTCACTTTAGAAAATCCTAAAAGCAAGGTATGGCCTTTATACCAATGGTCATCTCTAGCTATATTATAAAGACATTTGATATGAGAGTGTGTTCAGCCATAGTGCTCAAAATAGAATTCAGCAAACGATGAGGGATGACGGTTAGATCGAATTCAGTCGAGGGTCCAGCGAGTCGTGGTAACAAGCGTTACTTGCTGCTATCCTATGCTAAGAAAAAAAAAAGAATAATATTTAATACAGAGTTTTTGATTCTATTCAATAAAACGAGAGAGCAGCAACTTTACAACAACACAAGTTGACTGGGAAGATGAAAAAGAAATTAATAAGAAAAAAGAAACAACGTTGAGAAAAAAGAATCATGTTTCTTATTTCCAAAGAGGAATTTTCGTCGGCTGCTATTTAGAAAAATGAATAAATTATTAATAGAACTACGAAATCATCAACATATTATTGATGAGGATAGAACGTTTTTTACAAATATCATTTGAAATAGTATGAAGAAGTCCACATATGAAAAATAATCCAAATAATTAATAAAGACCATAAATAAATCGTAAAATTAAATAGATATTTAAATTTCTTTTCATTTGTATTATACTCTATTTTATTTGACAATATTGAACAATCACTAAATACTGAATCATCCTAAAAGTAAAAATAAAAAACATAAAAATCAATATAAATATGAATTTAGTTACTGAATAGGTCTCATCACTTTGATCAATATGATGTAATTGTTCTAATGCAACATGAAACATATATTCTATATTAAAATGATATGTGAGCCATTGGACGTCTATGTCGGTCATTTGCAATAAAGTTCTTCATTCAAAATCGCGCCAAAAATAATTAAATACCTTCATCAGATTATAATAGAAATTTCTTTGAAAATATAATTGAGAACTACGGACTTGGTTGTATCAGAAATAAATGAAGCATAAAAATAGCTAGTAATTTGTGATTTTTAGTATTTGAAAGAGGACAGATAACTTTAAAATCAAACAATTGATCAGTGATCAGTGTTGGTCAACTCTTAGCGACTATTATGGAAGCGAAGCGTTTGGAAAATTTTCCATTATATGTTGACTTTTAAGATGGTCATTAGATAGAGAAAATCAAGGCCATCCTCGCCAGATGGTCCCATTGCCATGATATAAGTCTTCTACTGAGACCAACGAAACCGGCTAACAACTTGACAACTGACCAGTCTGAAATAAACTAATATCAAAGGTTTTGATCATGTTGAAACATTTGATAGTGTTTGTTTTATTTTTTCAAGCGACATGAAAAAACTAGACCAAAATTTCAAAATCATCAATTTTAATTAAGTATTATGCAGCAACAACGTCATGTCATAATATTGATTTTATTACTTCGAGTTAGTTTAAAAAATAAAACAAACATTACCATTACCACTCGCTTCAACGTGGTCAAAACCTTTTATATTAATTTATTTCAAACTGGCCAATGGTCAATTTGCTTGGCCTTACATAGGTCGAGAGGCCTGGATTTTCTTTATCTAATGAATATCTTGAAAGTCAATATGTAATGGAAAAATTTTCAAACGCATCGTTTCCAAAATGATGACTAAGAACTGACCACTGCTTAATTGTTTAATTTTTACATAGATTGATAAAGTTATCTGTCCTCTTTCGAATATTGAAAATCGTAGAGTATCAACTATTTCTCTACTTGGGTTATTCGCAATACAACTAAGTCCATTGGTCTTCTGAATGGGTAGTAATACTTCAATGTGATTCATTAATCGAATACGAAACACACTAAAATTAGGTTTTCTAATCCATCAACATTTTGCCTCATAGCCCATTATTTTGAATGTAACTTCTGAATTAGCTCGAATTTATTTTAAAGCAAAAAATCCAGAATTCTATTTTATGAAACAAAGCAAAAAGAAAAGAAATAAGTCTTTTCATTTATATTGGTCGAAGTTGTCCATTAACGCATTGATACATTGATTCTTTATAGCATGCATGTGGGTTTGAACCACATGCTTTTTCACCTTTGGAACATAGACGGCCACCATCACACCAGTAAGCATTTGGATCAAATGTTTGACCATTACAAACATTTCCTGATGATGGTTGTGTTGTTGTTGGATTAGGTACATTTGTGACTGGACTACCTGATGGACAAAGGATAATTTCATAGTTTGCTTTGTAACATTGATAAGTACCTTCACAAAGAACTTAAAAACAAAAACCTAATCGAATATTTTTACTCTCACTAGCAAAATCATCAAATTGCCACGAATAAGCATCTGGACATTGAGATTTAAATACTTCATCATATCGTGCATTATGAGTAGAACGTGGCCATTGTTCAACATAGCATTTTCGACCTGGTGTTACATTATCATGAGGAGAAACCTTTCATAATATACAGAAAAAATATATATGGTTATTCTTTTAAATGAAATGTAGCATACACAATAATTTCCATCACATGAACAACAAACAAGTGAACGTGTATCTGGATTATTGTAGATCCTTTGAAGATGATCATGTTTAGCTCGTTGTTGAGCATTATGAATAGCAGCACAAATACTTGCACAAACTTTATGACCAGTGCCATCATCCATTTGTAATTCCGGTGGACATTTATTTGCATCAAATGTACATGTGGCCTAAAAAAATAACATCTAGACTTCAGTCATTATTTCGAACCACAACAAAATATAAATTCTATTCAATATCTATTTTTCCTCCTAGGTTATGATAAGCATACCGTTCCACAGTTGTACTTTCCTAATGATGGATTATTAACCATTGTATATTGACCAGGAATAGGTTTAATTGTCATACCAATCGAATGACCATCAACATTTGATAAATCATAATAATCCGATCCTCCCCATCCATCTAATGTGAATTCAGCTATAGTAGCTGGTGGTTGTCCACCAATACCATTACATTGTACACCAAATCCATTCACTGGAGCTCCACAATCACCTATTTAGTGAAAGATTAACAGTAACTTATTCTTTGATCAAAATCATTTACCTGTAGCACATGTGAGCTTTCCATTGACTGATCGACATCCAGTACGCGGCCAAATTCGTCCGCTTACCTATTTATTTTATTTGTTAGAGAAAAAATCAATTAGATGAGAGATAAACAAACCCATCCATCTGGAACTGCGAGATTAATCGATGAACGAGAGTTGACTTCAAAACCACCACCGTAGATCAATGGTTGACCTTATATACCAAACCATAATTTTTGATCACAATTATTTGTTATACGAAATGTACGTGCTGATAATGTTGTCGAAATAACACATACAAAAATAATTCCAAATAAAGTTAGACCCATGGGAAATGCTTAAAAATATTATTTTGTATCGTTGTTCTGCGTGTGCATATATATATAGTCAGTAAGAAGAAATGTATATCGTAAAAACGAAATGGAATATTAATAAGTTCTACCTTATCATTCAATTAAATCTAACCAGGATTAACGAAGAATCAAATATATTTTCTTCAATTGTCAGAGAAGAAACCAGGAGATTGAAAAAAAAACATGTATGGTTATTACTTGCATCAAACTAATTTTACTTATTCATAAATTATTTTTCTAATCTTTTCAGACAAGTATAATCCTGTGCAGGTGTCAATAAAAATATAGTTCGCAAAAAAAAGGCAACAATATATACAATGAGAGTTGCTTTCATAAAGTTATTTTTCGAAGCTATGTAGTATTCTCATTAACTGGAGTTGATGATTGTACATTAATTACATTTTGTAATAAGTGCATTCTTGCATTTTTATGAATTAAAAATTATCAATAATCTTTCGTTTTATTTTTAAATGTTTTAAGAAAAAACACTCAGCATTGTGTTCAGAAAAGTCATTTGATCAAACAATTTTCTCCAAAATGACTGAATATAAAGCTTAAGAAAATGTATTTTATATATTAAATCTTGTATTTTAAACTAAATTGAGCTAAACTATTGATGATAAAATCGAAAATTGAAACAGGAATATAAGTGAGATTGCAGAAGACAAAAATAACTATATCCATAACAATCTCTACAGAAATATGAACAACATCAATTTTCGATAATTAAAAAAAAAATTTTTTTTTTTTGAAAGAATGTTTATCATCTTTTCGTGAAGTGAAAAATGATGATATATAAACTCAATATTCTAATATGGACCACTACTTACGGACTTTTTTTGCAAATCTATGAAAAAAATATTTCAAACTATTTTTTTGTCACAAGTTGAAATGAAAATTTCGATTACAATCAAAATAATCTAATAGTTCATAGTACGAGAGCAGCATATTATCATCAATCTTTAGAACATGTCAATTAAACAACATTTTCTTCCGTATCAATATCATTGTCTCGCTTAAACAAATGTTGTAAATCATCAAGCAGAATCTATTTTATTCTCATTGGAATATTGTTATAAATTTTCCCAAATGTACATATTGTCAATCAACTGAGTGATGATATAGATTTTCTTTTGAAAAAATCATGAGCAAATAATGAAAGCAGAACTTATAGTAGAAGACGAAGTACCAGTACTCTTTTTACTGGGGTTCTAAAATTTCACCAATTGACGAAAGTCTGACCACCCTTTTTACTATATGTCTTTTGCACTGACATGTTCAAAGAGTCTATGACATATATCTTCGGTCTTTTTGTAATTTCACGTTGTGTATCTTGCGACATATTTCAAATTTCGACGGAGCTATTATTTAAACATATTTTTAATAATTGTTTTATTTTCTAACAGTCGTAGTTAAATGGCTGTCAATCTTAACTTCATACGAACTGCTAATCCACGTATAATTGAACTACAATCAATATTTTCTACGATCATCAACTTTTTTGACTATCGAAATTAATAGAAGTCGCAAAAAATTGCTCTACTTTTATCAGTAACTAAATAGTTTTCGATTTATTAATGTTCATTTCATCATGAAATACAGTGTCTTTCGTCACTATGAGAAAAATCATGTCTAACCAATATCTTTGTATGGATATAGATCCTCTTGAGGTAGAAACTTCTATATCAAGTCCAATAGTAGTAAATATTCTCTATTCCATTCATTCTTGTCGTTTGACATTATCTTTGACACTGCTGTCAATTTTGATGAATATCTCTCAATGCCAAAGGGAAAAAGTATTGTCTGGTGTATATATTATAGATAAAACCTGATGACTATCAAACTAAGCCATACCATTTCACAGAAAAACATGAAGAGATGCTGAATAGAATACGATATTCATGGAAAATATTTTCATTACTATTGATGCATCGCAATCGATTTCTACGGAAACTCAAACAATTACACTGACTAAGAGAAAAATCTAAAATTTATCTCTTATATAAAGTTTATTCACTGAAAACACATACTATAAGCTGATGATATAATCAATAGGACTTGATCATTTCCATATATTGATATGTTTCGCAAGTATATGAATATTGCGACATTTCGATTCATTGATATACATATGTTTTGCCAGATCGCTTTACATATAATTCTTATTATAGTTAGTAAACTTAATTCAGCAGAAGAACCTTATCTTCTTTAATTTTCTATTGCCTAACTTGTCTCTTTTTTTAGCAACCTCATCGTAATTCTATCGTACTCGAAAACACTGAAATGATCCCTTATCCTTCAAATCGTTTCCGGTGTTAAAATAGTTTTTCTTATATAGTCATGATGTGAAATACTTGCATGCTCTGTCTGTGTTATTTATCGATGATCGGTACACATCTGTTCGTAATAATAATTCTGTCTAATCGATAACGATCAAGTTTATATAAAGCACAGATGAAACTAATCATATCTAATTAAGTTTAATATTGATGTCAAATTAAAAATCGTCACGAAAAAAAACAAAATTATAAGCACAATAATACGATGAATAAATCACTTATCCCGTATATACTGCCCTCTTTCTGTAAACAATTGATTCCTATTGGTTAAAACCTATGTTGTTTTTTGATTCGTTCGAACAAACGAACAGACAAACATATTTACGCATTTGAAGATATTTTGTGGGATAAAATCCTTTCTTTTAGAAAAGGGAAAAATGTATTTTTCTTTTTTCTTCGATAAAGAATTCTAAAATGTCATTTGTTTAACGTTTTTTTTGTCATAGATCATAATTCTTCTATGCCTAAACCAAGTCGATCAGCATTTTATTTTTATGCACTTGAATATCAACGTCGTTTTCAACAAAATAATGGTCAACGATTAAGTATAAATGATGCTATAGCAGCATGTTATGATGAATGGAAATTATTATCTGATGAAGAAAAACAACCATATAAAATTTTATATGAAGAATGGCGTATACAATATCGTTTAGATCCTGATTCAACTATTAATTCTAATCAACGTTCTTTACAAACAAAAAAAGCTCTTAAACAAGAAATAAAAAATGAAAAAATTCTTAGTGAACGTGATATACCATGTGAAGAATTAAAAATTCATTATGATCGTTTTAGTTTTGAAAGAGATTATTTAGCATTTGAATATTTACCATTAGATATAAATGAATTATTAACAATGCCAATATATATAATAAATTTTCAAATATTTTGTAAAGTTGATGAAGAAGATGGTGGACAATTTATTCCAGCTGAAATGTGTATTCTTCGTGTAAGAATTTATTTCAAAAGAAATTTCTGGTTATTTTTGTTTTGTTTTAGTATACATTAGCTGAAGGTGCAACTATATTACGACAAGTATTTATAAAACCAGATAAAATTCCACCTGGTTATATGTCAGCATGTTTAGAACATTTAAAATCAACACATGAAATACCATTAAAAGATTTTGCTGAAGCAAGTGATGATTATAAAACGATTTATCAACAATTAAAATCATTTTTAATACCAAATATAATTAATAAAACAAATCAATTATCTGATGATGATCGTACCCGTCGTCGATATCAACGTTTAAGTCAACCATGTGTTTTTTTTCCTGCTGTTGAATATGAACAAACAAGTAGATTAATGGATTGGTTACAAGAAAAAGCTGAAGGTTAAAATTAAAATAAATTTATCTTATCAGTAAAAACAAAGAATTTTTTTTTTTTCTGTATAGGAATTAAACCAACTAAAGATACACGGCTTGTTAATTTTGCAAGTGTTGAATCTTTAATAATGCTTTTAGTTGAATTAAAAAAACAACGTGTTTCACGTGATGATATACATAAAACATTTGAAAATGCAGCTTATTCATTTATGATTGAAGAACGTTGTAATTATCATTCACAATTAGGTATAAGTTATTGTTCAGTTGCACGATGTTATGCATCAGCTAAACTTATGTCAGCTTATTTAAATCAATTATATGTACCGGAAAGACCAGCATCAATAATGATGACCGGTAAACGACCATTAAGTACATCTATGATGAATTCAGAAACATCATCAATTACTTCAATGAATAATCTATCAAATCGATTACAACAACCATCGATACTTAGGTAAAAAGTCTTCTTATTTATATTTGAAATTTTAATTTTTCCTTGTAACGAATGACTCATGAAGAAATGAAAATCTCAATATTTTCTCTAGTTATCATAGATTTTCTATAAAATCATACAGAAATGTATCGCATAGAAATAAAAGTAAAATCATTATTGTAACGAATGATTCGTATAAAGCGGACGACTTTGTTTTTCAATTGAAATTATCTTGTTCTCACAAAATTCAAAAAATTGCGAAGAATAATAATTAATGGCACATTTTAACTATACCACAATATTCTCCGTAAAATTCTGCCTCTATTATTATATATTTCAAAAGATTACAAATAATAAAACTTTTTCTTTCATACGACTTACATAATAGTTTTCACTGTTCCATGCAAAAGTCATATTCAACGGAATAAGAACGAATGTCTCGTCAGCCAGATCTGACTTTGAAAAACATGATTTTCAATAATACATTCAAGCAAACTAACAGGTGTTAGTTCTATGTCTTTTAATCGTGAAGAATAGGCATAAGAACAGGGTTACCTGAATTTCCTGTGTCTGTAAAAGAAAAAATACGAAATCGCCATTGGACAATTGAACAGTACTTAATTGTCTGAGTTGAAAGGCAGATTTTAGCGCTACTTTAAGATGCCTCAACGACAAAAAAAAAATAGAGGCTTTTATCTGGATCATCCGTTGGTAATATTGCAAACATGCGATATCAATACCTTTCACATATGGACTAGAATAAATGACATTCGCAATATTGATTTTCATAATTTCTTTGTATTCTATTTAGTCAATAAAACTATATGAATCGTAGATACAGACGATCTCAAATAACATAATTTGATTGTAATGAAACTAGAGAAGAGCAAGAATGATAATAATGTAAAAATATGAGAGGAAGTGGAAAAAATTATCAACATAGATAAAATTCATTCATACAGAAGAAGTTGACCTTCATAAGGACTACTTAGTGTCTGTTACACCTATTGATAACAGAATGTGACAGAATTTCAGTTCAGTTTTGTGTTTTCAAAGTATATTGAGTGGTTATTATGTCAAATTCAACAAGCATATTTAACTACGATTCTTCTTGCTTCAAAGAAAAGAATTGAGACATGAAGAAAATCGTATTGCAAAATTCTATTTGACATCCAATATTCAAGAATATACGATCGGTACAAAAAATTGAAAGTAGACTCGAATAATAATGTTGCAAATAGTACATTTTAGTATGCTCTATGTCTACAGTGCATCCGTATCGTTGAAAATATTATTTAATAGGAAAACTGCTTATGACTCAGAACCGATGTTTGTACAATGAAATCAAATATCATATTAGAAGTGTCTTTCTACAAACTGTATGTGATACAAATAGTTTTTACTTTAAAATCTACGTTTGAAATAACAGTAGGATGACTTTTCACAATGAAATAGATCCAATCGGATAAAATCATACTATCAATTTGTGACTCACTCTTAGTTGAAATACTACATAAAAAGAGTTCGTGTTCTTAGATTGTTGCTGTGAAGATACTGCACTTTTTACTATATTCTTTACGTGAATATAGTGGTAATAGAAAATTTGATTTTTGAATTTCAACTCCAAATTTTGCATAACGATAGACTTAGATTTTTGTGACTGTTTCAGATCTTGTCGCTGTTCTTATCCTAAGATACAATTATAGTAAAAGCATGTCTTTTATATCGCTCAAATAAGCTGATAGATTTGATATTCTTATTTCGAGATAGAAGCAACTCTTCTTAAGACTTGTCTCTATATAAAGTTTCAAGTCGAAATTTGAAAAATTAATTTTTCTGTTAATACGACACTCATTCAAAAATATACCGTAAAAGTCTAGTATATTTGCCGCAATAAGTTAAGGGCTTAAACTATTTTCGGGGCAATCATAGCTCATTTAGGTTCACATGATGCACATAATCTCGACTCAAAAACGATTAATCAGTAACAGGACTTCCGTTGTCAAAAGAAACTTTTTTTAATTTCCGAAAAAGTCTTTGTTTCCAACAACTTCTTTTTTTCTTCAATCAGTACGCAGACAAAGAAAACTGGAAAATAATGTCATTCTACATGAAAACAGAATGGCATTTGATTCTACAGAATACTTCGAGCTCTACAAAATTGACTATTTGTTATCTTTCTTTCGATTCTCAGAAATTTTTCATCTCTTGATAAAATACCATTTTTTTTTAACAATGTGAACCCTATAAGTTAGCCATGATATAAGTTAGAGACCTGAATTTTGCTATGAATGTAGGGCGTTCAGAGATCAATAACATATAAAAAAAAAAAAAAAGAAAGTTTATCCAATAAAACTTAAACTTTTTATTTTTCAGACCTTCAATAACATCTCAAATAATCTCAAGTCAATATTCTACAACTGGTACAAGTGATTCAATAGCTTCATCCTATCATTCACCTGAACAAAAAGCACAACAACAGCAACAATCTCAATTAAAATCACCAATATTTCCTCAATCATCATCATCAACAAAATATTCATATGAATCTCAACAACCACAATCTAATCAACAGGATCTTCATGTATCTGATGAACTTGTTCATCATCCAACTATAATAAAATTACAACAACAAAATTTTCATCGTTTATTGTCCAGTGCTGCATCTACAACTTCTTCATCATCGATAATTAAACAACAACAACAAACATCACAAATTCATCTCGCTGGAAATAATGATCGAGCAACTTGTTTTAGTACAACAACAATAACAACAAATGATCAAATACAACCAATAAAGCAATCGTCAGATACACAACGAGCTGTTTTACACCAACGTAAACAAGCATTAATGAAAGCTATTCAAAGTATAAATAAACAAATGGAAGATCTTGATATGTAATAATCAGGAAAAAAAATGTTCAGATAGATTTTGTTATTTCTTTTTTGTTATTTTTGTGAACATATCTATGTTTTTTGTTTAGTGTATCCTGTTGTTTATTTTTTCATTTTTCACTTTTTTTTTTTTTTTGTGTGTGTAAGTCTTTCATCGGATACTAAGATAGTAAAAATTGAATAAAGATGAAATCAATATGAATAAAAGTATATCATTGTGTTTTGTTTTCTTTTAGAAATGGCTCTTTTATTTCGCTCTACACTTATTCAATCATTAACAAAAACAACACGACCTATGTTGATGATTATGACATCAAATGCACGTCGTAATATGTCATCGCATAATAAAGAAACTGATGAAGAATTTGATCAACGATGGAAGGCATATTTTGAACGACCAAATATCGATGGTAAACAATATGATTAATTTTTAGAATTGACAGGAAATTAAAAAATTCATAGAAAGCTTTCTTATTAAATGTATATTTTAAAAAAAATTGTTAGCTTCTATAAACCATGAGAGAAATTGTTATAGTCAGTCTAAATAAACTATCTATCTAGTGAACATATAAATACGATAGTTTAAAAAAATGACATAGCCTTCTTATAGATATTAGAATAAGTGATACAAAAACAATCTGAAACTTGCCATTAATGATAATATTATAATGTCTTTCTTACAGAAAGTTTTTGTTTCTGTCCTATGCCAAGTCTTTTTATTAATGTGCAAGTTTATGTTTACCCATATCGTACATTTGTTCGCATTGCCGGCTGTATTATCGAGAATAGACTGCCATTCAGAGAACAACTGTCGATATATCCGGGTACAATGGCGGTCAGAGTACAGCTATCTATTTATGTATCAAAATATCGATAATTTTTCTTTCAGTTCGAATCACATGGGCAATTTGTTGCTTTAATCTAATATGTAAATATTATTATCATTTATCGCCAGTCACATTGATTTTCTAGGTAATATTTTACTTGAATAATCTTTGATTCATGGATCGTAGATAACCTAGAAGAATACTGATTCGAGCAACAAACTTTTACTATACTAGTTCGATACTGTCACAAGCGTTACATTCTATACGATTCGAACCGGACAAATATTATCGGTATACATCGACAATCCATCGGTGGGGTACCTTGATACTTAAGAATTCCTCTTTCCGGGACTTCTCGAAAACGACTTGACGAAAAATGATGACATTTTCAAGGCAGATATATCTTGATAAGTAGAACAAAAGTTTTTATAGACTCAAAGTTCCTAAATGCCTCCCTTGGGAGGATATAGCGGCCACAAAACTCTATACTTCATTTTTCGAGCTGCAATTTTTTTTAAAGACAGCTAGAATCAAATTGAAATGTGTGTTTTTTCTTCTTCAATGATATCATTCCTAGAGCTTAGGAGAGAAGCTACTGAAATTGTTTCAAGAAAAACAAGTTTTTCTATTTATCAGGACTTTTTTTTTCTCCAACTAAAATCATCGAAAACTAGCGATGTAACGAGTCCGTGACCTATGCTCTAAGCACCTTTAGAATAAGAATTAATCATTGTCAAAAAATAAGCTTTTCTGCTAGAGTTTTCGAAAGTACTAATTAACAACGTATATCGCTCATTTATATGAGATTTGACAGAAGACACTGTGAAACTGTATTAACAATGAAAAACTGGAAAATTTTCGATTTTCATGCCCGGAAAGGTGACATCTTTAAACGATCGGTTATCTTCTGATTACCGATATACCGCCGTAGTGTAAACAAACGTATGACATGGAATGTTTTTTTTCCACAGAAAACAAAAGCATAATGCTCATACGTGTATATTGAAAATCTTGATATAAAAAAGTATATATGTTCATTTTTTTTGTACTCTTTAGGTTGGGATATTCGTCAAGGTATAAATCATATGAATCGTCTTGATTTAATTCCTGAACCAGAAATAATATCAGCTTGTCTTCAAGCATGTCGTCGCGTGAATGATCATTCATTAGCTGTTCGTTATTTGGAAGCAATTCGTTATAAATCGAATGCCGTTTCAAATCAAGTATGGCCATGGGTTCTTCAAGAAATTCGTCCAACATTAAATCAATTGGGTATATCAACACCAGAAGAATTAGGTTATGATAAACCTGAATTAGCTTTAAAATCAGTTGATGATATGTAGACAAAAGACAACCAAAACACCAATCAATAGACTCATTCACGTCTTTTTGTTTCCATCTAGTTTACGATTATTGGTTGTACCTTACTGTTTTTTTCTCTCCTTATATTAAAAACAAAGTACGAAGCACCAGTTGTATCCTGTCCTGATTCTTTAATGAATAAAATTTAGATTCAGAAAAACTAAATCATAAAATTTCTTTTTTGTGTTTTTTTTTTATTCTAGATATGCCTTTATCATTTGCATTACGAATGATTTCACAATTGTTATTACCATTTCAAAATATTTTTATGTATGTTTTAACTGGTAAATCATTATTAGAACGAATTATTGCAAATCGTAAATTACCATTTCCATTACGTGTTTATCAAATTAAAAATTCAATTAATTTTACATCAACAAAAAATCTTAATTATGAAATTCAACAAGCAAAAATTGAGAAAAAGAAATCTTTAGTATATGATCAATTATATACTGTTATACATAAATTAGAATTATATCAACAATTAATTAAACAAATAGATGATATAAGAAACATAAAAGTAACATCAACTGAAACTGAACATCTTGAATTATTTGAAAAAATATGGTCACGTCTTGTTATTCAATCACATAATGATCATGAACAAATGAATATGATATCAAAGCGTTGGACTAAAATTGGTTTTCAAGTATAAAGAAAAAAATATAGAAACTCACTACTTATATTGTTAAGATTTTAAATATCAACATGTTCAAATGTTTAAAAACACTGATAAAATTGAAAATCATTGTAGGAAATGAGATATCATTCACTCTTTTGAAAGACTTACAAACAAGAGAGAATAGAATAATTTAGTATTGCTTTGTTGTTTGTACAATAACAATAAATATTTGATTCACGAAGAACTTTNAATATAGTAATATGAGTAAATAAAAAGAGAGATTTTATTTGTTTGAAAATCGAATGAATGCTTGAGAAAATAGGTTTTCATTGATTTTCAAATTGAATGGAATCACTATAACTTTTCATTACGAAATTATAGATGCAAATCTTGTTAGTAGACATTTACCGAATCCGAGACCTCGACTTCGGTCTAATCTAAACAGAACAGTCTTGAATGAATAGAAGTATTATTCTTCTTATGAATATTTTCTTATTTCTTTCTTTACCTTCTCATTATGACAAATATAAACCAATCTTTTTTCTCATATTTTCCAATTGATTTTCTGTTATTTGTATCGATCGAAGGCATAAATACAATCTCTTCTAACGTTCTTTCTTGAAAATATTGTTTATAGACATGATAGTTAATAGTGTATTACAAAAAGTTTCAAAAATAAAAAGTTAATTTTTTTTGTACTGAACTCGAGTCGTTCGGTTATTCCCCGAAGGCAAACTGTTCAGTTCGAGTAGCGAATCAATGTTTTGAATTCAGTGCATGCCTAGTTGTTAGACTATTCTGAAGTGAAATATGAGATCTTTCTTTCTACTTAAAGAATTTAGAAGCTAAGATTTTCATTAGAATCATCGATTTGTAGAAAACCTAAGGAAATGCAGAACAAGTCAAAGTGATTTAAGTTGTCATGAGTAATGCTTCTTTACATCAGCAAACAGTTTATTCTCGTAGTAAGCAGTATAATACCTGCCTTACAAACATCAGAATAATTAGTCTGTGTAATTAAACAACAAAAAACAGATTTTTGTTCCCGTTTTGAAAAAAATGCCATTTTCTAACTGATATACCTTAGCCAACGCATGATGAAAAGAAGTTTAATTCTTTTTTCAACTTTGTAGAATATATCTTAAAACCTTTTATTATAATATCCTAGGTATGGGCCTTCTTGGTCTTCAATCTATAGAATATTTGTCTCGTGATCAAGCAACATGCTTAACATATGTTAATATTCCGTCACCTAATGATTATTCATTTGCTATAGGTGTTATTAATGTTGTATCATGGCTTGTTTATTTACTTGAAATTGAACCATCCATAGAAAATAATGCTCATCCATTATTAACATATTTTTCTGTACATCCATGTAATTTAGATGAATTTTTTCGATTATTTTTACTTGTTTTCAATGAATGGCATCAATTTTGGATTGATCAAGAAGCAAATATAATGCAATTTGAACAATTATCAAAAATATTTCGTGCACAAATGCTTGTTGAATGTCAACAATGGCGACCAATACAACAAGGATTTGCGAAAAAAATTTCAAAATAATTATAATGATTTGTTTAAAAACAAGAAAAAAATGAAGAGTAAAAATTGACTTAATAGTTTTATCTTTTTTTTTTTTGCTCAGTTTTAAAACGTGACCAACAAATTTTTCCATTGTCCTATGAATGGGTACCAAGAGTTTTTTTTTATGCAATAGAAAATGAACGAGAATTTCCTTTATGTTTACCTTTTCGCACTTATTACAATTCTTTTGATCTACTTTTTCTTTTCGATCAATTATATACACTATTATATACAACGAAAAGCTGTTACACAATCACATTGTAAGTGTTCTTTGGATGAAATGAAAATATGATAAGTCTCCTGTTTGACTCATAGATATGTTTTTTTAATTGCACAACCAAATCGTTATTTTCTTTTTCGTCATTCCTTTCTCTTACTTTTTTCTTTTTTTTCTTAATAGTCAACTTACTTATTCATGAAGAATAAGAAAAAAAAAAGAATAAGAAAAGGAAAACAAACGCAAACAAAGTTATTTCATACGAAATAAATTTCTTCTTCCCTTTTAATTATTAAACACATTTACATGTTATCATTTACCATTGAAAATATCTTTGGTGTTGGATCATTTCGTTTATGTGCAGGTTTTCCATCATCAATTAAATCAATTGAACATTCTAAATCTCATATATACGAATGTCCATTAAATGGTTGTATTCAAATTTATAATTATTCAACAAATGAACGTTCATATTTTGAACATATTTATGATGATATTATTGTTGTTATGCTTTATAATGAATTTGTAAATCAAATTTTAACATGTTCTTATTCAGGTAAAATTATTCTTTGGTCAGCTAATTATCAAAAACGATTTGTTGAACAACAAGTTCGAATAAATCATGTTCATTATGGTTGTTGGGCACGTGATGGTACAACGATTTATCTTTGTTCAAGATTTGATGGTAAAATTTTTGTTTTTTTCTATGAACAGTCAGCAACCAAAGTTAAAGAGAATTCTGTTTTTTTTTCCAAATCTTCTTTCACTTTAAAGGACATCGATCTAATTCAAATGGTGATATAGATAGTATGAGAGGATGACTATGTGATTTATTGAAAATGAAAACACAACAGACTAATCGACAGAAAATTTCATACTATAAAAGATTTTCTGTTCCTAACGTCGATTTTTACATCCGAAACCTGATTTGAATGACAACAGGCAAAATATAGCTTGAAGTTGAACGCTTTTTTATTTTAATTTTTTCTTCACCTTTTCCCATTTATTTCACAAATAAGAAAAACATGGCAAAAAAATGAACTTCATAAACTTTCAAGTAGAGTGTTGATATTTCTTTTCTCAAAACTCACTCACACCGTAGGGTTATACTTTCGAGAGTGTACCAGACTTTACATCGATTTCATGCGAATCGAATGAAACTTTCAGAGTTTGTAGTATTTGTATCTGTAAGTATAGCTGTAGAATTAAAAAAATTTTAAAATCTTGTGAAGGGATCCGAATAGGAAGGACAATTTTAAGTCTTCCAGCGAAAACCTGATTTCTAGAATTTCTCTATTTTCAATGATAGAAATGTGAAACTTTCAGAGTAGATACTAATCAATGAGGCAGTCATTTCATTAAGCAGAAATGTTTTTGTTCGACGTTTTCGCCGCCTCAAAAAGTTTCACAAAAATCATCTATTTCGGGTTTTTAGAGTTTGAATTTCCTCGATAAGGAACAAAATTTAATTGATAATTTTATATGTATTAGAATTGTCTTTTAGCATACATTTCAATTATAAGATTTGGAAAGGCTTAGAACCAAAGCTGAGCGCTGAAACGGAAGGGGGGGGGGGGGTTGAGGGAAGGATTTTCACTTTTTCTTATAAGCTTTACAATCGTCTGATGAGAAAACTAAGATTGTAGTGAGCTGAGCATCCAACATTGGCTTGATACTTTTAGGATCGACGGATTTTCATAGGAATTTTCTAGATTTTTCAAATTCATTGGCCATTGAAGTAAACACATTTTTGTTATAGCATATGTCAAAGAAATCTCAAATAGAAGTTTTTTTTCCTGGCGATAATCCTTAGTTTTCTCGTCAGACCGCCCTAAAGTTTATTAAAAAAAAGTAAAAATCCTTTCCTCAAACCCCCAGTCTCAGCGTTTAACTTTGGTTTTAAGCCTTTCCAAATCTTATAACTGAAATGTATGTTAAAAGACAATTCTAACGCATATAAAATCATCAATTAAATCTTATTCCTTGTCGGAGAAATTTAGACTCCAAAAGCCCGAAATAGCTGATTATTGTGAGAAACTTTTCGATGCGAAGAAAACACCAAACAAAAACGTTTCCGATTAATGAAATGACTGCCTTATTGATTAGTATCTACTCTGAAAGTTTCAGGTTTTCGCTGGGACACCCAAAATTGTTCTTCCTATTCGGACCCCTTCACAAGATTTAAATAAATTTTTTAATTCTACAGCCATACTTACAGATACAAATACAACAAACTCTGAAAGTTTCATTCGATTCGTATGAAGGCGATGTAAAGTCTGGTACGCTTTCGAAATAACTACTC